GACCCCCCCCCCCCCCCTCAGCACAAGCCCCTTCTCCATATTTTCCCCCTCCTCTCCCCCCAGCCCAGCCCAGCCCAGCCCCTTCCCCTCCCCAGGGGCCAGCTCTAGGTTTTTTGCTGCCCCAAGCAAAACATTTTTGCCCCCCCACCCCCTTTGGTGTTGTCTTTTACACATGTTTGCATTTTGCAATGGGTTTTTTTTTTGTTTTCTTTTTTGTCCCAGCATTTTAGCCCAATAAATAACAAATAGCATTTTCATTCGTTTTTTTTCCATAAAGGCAAAGGTGCTTCAAGTGACCCCCCCCTTTCACTGGCTTCTGGGTCACAGCAGCCTTTTCCCTGCCCTGTCCATCCCCTCCCTATGGTCAAGCACTCTTCACTCCCTACCCACAGGAGGAGCAGGGTACAGGGACAGCACAGAGCCAGAGGGGTGCAGGGAACAGTGGGTGAGTACGGGGGTGGCATGGGGAACGGGAGGCACAGAGCCACAGGGATGCAGGGATCGGGGGTAGCAGGGTGCGGTGGAGGCACGGGGAATGGGACGCTGGGAACGGGAGGGGCAGAGGGATTGGGGTCTAGGGGCAGTGCAGGGAACGGGCAGCACAGAGCTGGGGGAGCAGGGATCGGGGGGAGGGGACTGCACGGGGGGGGTGCAGAGGAGGCATGGGGAACGGGCGGTGCGGAGACAAAGGGGAGCTGGGGCCGTGGCAGGACTGGATCCGGTGGGGCGGGCCCTGGCTGCGCTGCGCGCCACAGCCAGCTCCCAGGGACACGCGGCCAGAGCTGAGCTGCCGCGGCCCTTAAAAATCAGCGGGGCCAGGTCATACTAGCGTCCTGGCATCTCGCCCAGCCTCCTCACACCAGTGCTGCACGCAGGCAGCCCGGTGGGAAGAATCACACACTTCCTCCTTCCCAGCGGCGCTGTGCTCCTCCGCCAGCCGGCGGATTGGATGGGGCCGCGCCGGCCGTAGTGCAGGCTTCGGGCAGCCGTCACAACGGCCCACCGGGCCAGTCCGCCCCTGCACTCGCCAGCTGGAAAAATCTACTCACCACGGGCGAGCACGCGAGCGCATTTGTCGAGCCCTGCAAATGAACACACTTCATTGTATGGATTGACATTCTGTATTCAAATGATGTTAAAGGGCCTGGCTACATATCTCCCCCTTCCTCCTCAGCAATGGAGTATCTTTGTAAAGTAGGAATTCAATGGAATTTACCCTGCGGCACATGAGGAAGTTTAAAGCTGAAAAAATGAAAAGAATAATAAAAAGGAATGGGAAATAAAATACTGTTGGGAATGACAATGATGTGTTTCTACAATCTAAACTAAACAGCCCCTCCCTGCCCAGTATACATATATATACTGTATATATAGAAACAGTTTTGAGAATAAAACCTTAAAATAGGCTTACAATGCCTTTGGACTATAAAGTTGATCATGGCCAGATTTCTGAGATCCCATTCCACCTTGACAAAACTCACTGACAAAAGGGTGCTTTGGTACCATCCAGATCAGACTGTGAACTATGCACAAGATGTGCCAGACCAATTAGCATCAGACAGCTTTGGAAATGGAGGGAAAAATATTCCAGATTGTAATAGCTTGTGACAGTTTTCATTTGCCAAACACATTCTGTGTTTCTTGGACCCACCGCATATGCAGAGATCTTTAATTGTGTGCTCAATGCCTTCCGAAATGTGGGTCATATAGAAATGAATCGCAAATGATATAAAGCTACCAGGAAACTCTTAATAAAGCCATTTCTGAGGTAAAGTATATGTCCAACAATCACCTTGATGAGTCTTATACATCTAGGCAGCAGCAGATGTAGAAGTTTTTGGTGTCACTGGAAGTGGTATACTCAAACCAGCAAGGCTGAGAATCCATTACAGTACTGCCAGATACTGTGCAAGCATCCCTCCATAACTCTTGGCACGTCACAAATCTTGTTTTATAGGGAAGGGACTCTTGAGGCAATGATGGCCAATTGAGTCAAACTCACTTCTCTTGTGGACTGCCCCCATTGACTACTCTTCGGGCTATTCTGCACTGCTACTAACTTGCCCTGGCTGCACCCAGTCATTGGGGAAAGCCCAGAGAAGAAGCAAATATTGCTTCAAGAGCATTCACTTCTGACAGTTATTCTAATGAGACTATTGGTCTATACCAGGGGATCATGCCACAAAAAGCAACTAATCCTCTTCCCTGTCCAACTTGTTATCGCTCTCTTCTCTGAGCCACACATCTTCAACCAAGCAGAAACGACAGAGAAGGATTCTCCAGAGAAAGCACATCGCAAAGTTTGTGTGCTCACAAAGACTTTTTTTCCCTCTTTGACTCTTTCCTCCTTCCACATCTTACACTGAAGGGGAGTGCAAGGCCCTATACATGTTATTGGTGGTTTAAGTAGGGAAATGGCAATTCTGGCTTTCAATTTTAGGGGCTCTTACACCAACCATTAGACTGTGCTGTGTTCTTACTGACACCAGTGTATATCAGGCACAATTCCACTGACGCCTGTAGCATTTTATCCATGTTTAAAAAAAAAAAGGTGAAATGGAGATTAGAAGGAGGCTAGTTATGTTTACAGAATTCTAACATGCTAAATGCAATCTGGTACAAATCAAAGCAAGACTATGAACATGAGACAGTTCACTGATCTTGCCAAATTTGGATGAAAGGAGCAAAGTTCAAAGAGCAATATCTGGTTTGGCAAATGACACAATTAGGACCACCGGAGTTTGTAAATGTGGCAGCTTGATCCAATTTGCATTAGGTTCCCAATGAGTGCAATGAAAGAAAAACGATGCAGAAAATGCAACATTTTGAAGGTGCTTTCTGAGAGGAATCCGGTCCCATTTTGGGTAATGGCCTGTTTGCCAGAAAAGAACTGGTGGGAAGAGTGACACACGAGGATTAGGGAGCAGCAGGAAGCTTCTTTTAAAAGGATAAAATAGGCATTTTGCATTCACTAGCACTTACCTCCTGCTCGCGTTGAAATATTACAACTCGACCCCCCTTGTCCCCTGTCGCTAGTAATTCTCCTGTGTGGTTGAATTCTACTGTAGAGATAATGTCAGCTGAAAAAAAAGAAGACAAAGGAAATTTAAGTAACTGCAGACTGGCTTTTCATGGACATCTATAAGATACCATTCTCTGTGCAGTTAAGGAAAAAATGTATTGTCAGTGTTTTGTTGCCCCAGAAAAGTTTCCAGAGTCCTTATAGTTCTAGTTATATACAAACATGCTCATGGAATTTTGTGTAACAGTTTACCAGCCATGGGCATGAGCTAAAACATGATACAAACATATGGTGTTCTGAAACACTAAGAATTGGATTCATACCTTGTAAGTAACTTTTGTGGCTCCCTAGTGGTGTTATCCTAAAGCAATACCAAACCCAAACTCTGGGAGGCTTTTGGGTCTAGATTTATATTCAGATTTTGGAATTATGACCCATTTTGTGCTCAATAAAAATCCCACAAAACATCCTATGCAGGCTTAAGTGAATGTGTTCTCATTCAGATCCACATATTCCTTCCTATGCTCGCTCCACTTCCTCTCACACTTGGAAAGCTCTGCTAGCTCCCATCTCTGCAGAGTCAGAGAGGATGAAGCACATGGGGGACCCTGCTGGATACCACTGCATTCTCCCCCATTCAAAGCTACAGGGCAAAACAGCCTTAGACATGTGCTAGTTGGAGATCCCCCATTTTGTACTTCAGAGTAAACAGAGGAAAGGCTCTCCACTCCATTGCCATCTCATCTCCCCAAAGTGCTGCAGTTCCATATAATCGTCAAAAGAAAAGTTGTGTGTGCGAACAAGGCCATGTGGTCAATATTAGAGTGAGGCAAATTGTCCTAATGTGTGAGAAACAAGGAAACAGACAGGAACCAGTAATTTATTTAGGGGGTAACAATCTGAGAATGCCATGCTTTACAGGCTTTACTCGGTGGTGTTTACCCCTGAGGCAAAGCAGGCGAGACAACTACCAGTGATTGGATTTATTAGGACTATTTTTAGAAGAATGTCAGAGGTTAATTCTACTATAGTTATTCTCCTACTGCCTGGCCTTCATGGATTATCCTTGAGTGAAGCATTTAGCAAAAGCAAAACAGTACGCTGAGCAGGGGTGGGCGGGGGGACACGGTCTCAAACCTAGCAGTTAGCTAAAGGAAATCTTTTAAAGATACTTTGTTTTAGGTGTTGGTATGCAGATCTTTCATGTGAAAGTAAGTTTTACTGAACTTTAATTTCTCTTTTCATACCTTATTTATGTAATCTCTGAGTGTGTGCGTATCTAAACAAAATACTTCTCATAAGCACATATACCCACATGCCTTATACATATGTATGTGCACACTTGCTGCATATATACTAGGGTTGTAAACATGAATTTAAAAATTTAACCCACAGCAAAGTCGCCTCCCTGGAAACAGGCCAGCCAAGGCTGCTGCCAGTCCCGTTCCCAGGGAAGAGGCTTCGCTGCAGGCTTCCCAGGGAGCCAATAAGTAACCTGAGGCACAGGAAATGGGCGGGGGGGACGGAGAGGGGCAGGGCCAGGCCAGGGGCTGCTCCAGCAGGGCTCATGGGGATTGAGCGGACAGGAGCTGCTCCGGCCCCTACAAGTTAACTGGAACCTCACCCATTAGGAGTGAGGCTTATTTGCATCCCTAGTATATACAATCAAATGTCATTTGAATGCTTAAAGATAAGCAGGTGTTCAAATGGTGCTCTGAATGGGGGTGCTTTTCTGACCCCTCTATATGGGCTGTAGATATCAGAAGAGCTCCTCTAATTGTTTTTAGCATATACTTTACTGGATGAAAATTTGTGTTTTACTGTAATGCACCTAGGGTCTGAGACACGTGAAAAACATCTAAATAAATGTCAGTATTGAATTGGATCCCAACATATAAGTAGGGCTGCCAGATGGTTTCAACAAAAATACCAGACACACCTGACATTACATCATAATCTACATTACATCTGATTTAGAAAATATCGGACATTTATATTTTCTCCATTTGTTTCCCAAACAGAAAGCTCAAATACTGGACTGTCCGGTTCAAAACAGGATACCTAGCAACGCTACATATAAGACACAATCAAAATACATATGAGGAAGGTACTAAATGGATCAGACAGACAGATGCACAAATACTGCACACTTCAGAAAACATTGTCAGTGTTGGTTATATGACTTCTACCATGTGCATTAAGATGCCATCCAGCAAAAAAATATCCTCAAGAGTTCTGGCCAGAAACCCAGAAACATAGCTTTGTAAATGGTATTTCAGACTGGGAAGCCGCTGCTCTCTTCTCAGGTTCTAATTTTCCTGATTTGCTCAATCAGCTTAAATATTGCACCCCATGATTTCTGTTCTTGTCCTCACACTGGCTCCACTGAACTCACATAAACTGCCTCTATTCTTTGCCATTCACTGGACAAAACACCTTCCGATTTATGCCCTGTGGCACAACAATAGCTTCAATATACATCACAAGAAATCTGGCCCACTCTAAACAAGTTTAGAGTCATTGACCCATTTCACTAGAATTCAGTAGGTTTGGTTATTCTCGCCTTATTTCTCTGCCGAGATCTGGCTGGTGCCAGGTGGCCTAACAAGCTGAGAAACCATTCCCAACGAGCCTCACAGATGGCTGAAAAAGAGATGATTCTTCTCCTCCCCACGAGGACAGTCCATTTCAGTCATGCATTAAGTTTCTACCAGACTGGACTGAAACAGTGTGTTTTCCTCATCCAAGTCAACATGTTCTTACCAAAGCCAATTATGTTCAGATTAAGTCTAGGGCCTGAGGATTCACTTGTAGCTCTAGCGTCTCCAGTGCTTTAAGGACAAACCTCTGTCACTAAAAAATTCAGTATAAATCAGATCTCCACAATCTGGCTAGAATGATGAAGGGACTTCAGGAGCTGGAGTAAAAGAGAACAGCCACAGGTAGGGTTAGTCTCAGGTCCTAGCTTCACTATTGCAACCCAACATCAACGGGAAAAGACCAAATTTGGTATCTCACTCATCTATTCCATGCTATGTCCAACTCACAAATCCTGGTGGACTAACCACCATTTATAGTCCTTACTGTGCGTATCATTCTCCTGACCACCTTTCTGTTCAGCGATCCACTACTTTTCAATATTAACATAGGGAAGATTATGATCCATGAGTAACAAGCAAGAAAAAAAAAGTCTTCCAGTGTGGAAGGAGGCTAGGGACACAAGACCTTCCTCTTTCTTGACAATTCCTTATTGTGGGTCAGAGACTTTTACAATGCATGAATATACATGTAACTGTCATGCAAACTGGACTTGCTACGGTCCGCGGATATCCAGTCCACATATCAAGTCTTTGGCGTCCCCCTCAATCATCTTCAGTCCACAATTATTGTAAAGGCCAACCTACCAATTTCTTTAGCTATAGCAGCTCTTGCTCAGTTATCAGAGTAGGGTAAGGCTGTTGCACATGGCCCTGTTCTGAGGTATACCTGACATGAACATAAGTTCACAATAGTATCTCTTACTGGACAAGCTTTACAGGTTGGCTCTCTCAGCCTGACACCATTGATTTGAAATGGGAGTTTCCCTTCTCCTAGGTCAGGGGTAGACTGCCCCCAGGATTAAACCTTGGTGGGCCACTGCTGTTATATTTACCTGCACCTCCATAGGTATCAGGTGAGTGCAACTCTCATTGGCCACAGATCGCTGTTCTCAGCTGGAGGAAAGGGGCACGGACTGGGACACTGCTTCGCAGGACACCTATTGGCCACAAAGGCGATCCTCGGCCAATGAGAGTTGCAATTGCCCAATACCTGGCACAAGTATGTATAGAGGTGGGGTACCGCCAGGGACTAATTCTGTGGTTTGGATCTGGCCCACAGGCCAGAATTTGCCCATCTCTGTTCTAGGTGATCTGCTTATCAAGGCAACCAAATCCTCCTGCCCCAGCAATTCTTATTTAAGGTGGTCTTTATTCACTTTGGTGTCCTCATAGGGCCTATGTGACATTTTACAAAGATAGCCAGGCCACCAGCTACCTCCCATGCCCTGTGGAGAGATGCCATGACTGCTTATTGGAGATTCACAGCTGCCCTATGGTTTCCTGTCCATCACCCAAGAATGTGCCTGATGGGACTTGGTTGCCCCTTCTCAATGCTGGGGACACAAAGCCATCTATAATTTATTCATCATGTCCACTGTTTTATGTCTTCATAGGGATCCTTCCATTCGCTTAAGGATCCAATCACTCTCTGATAATGTGCAAAGAGCCCACCATGTTTACTGAGCTGTGACAGTCCAGATGGCAGCAGGCAGGTGAGTAACGAACTCCATGCTGCTTCTATTAATATTCACACATCTTCCCCACATTGCCCCGTCTCTCCAGCATTAAGCATAATTGCAATGACACGTGAAGCTTTCTGAAGTTTGTCTTGATTCATTTATAACGTTTGCTTGCTGTGAATAGATTTAGAGATAATATTTCATTTAACAAAGAGCCGGCACTGTAGCAAAAAAACCCAAGAGGATTATGGTACACAACACCCCATCTCTGCGAACACATATGAATCAACCGAGTGGCAGGGAGGATGGCCTGGCCAGCAATGCATCGGAAAGCAGTAAGGTGAAGCATTTCTATTCTATTATATGGAGCCCTTCTGCTTCAACCTGGGCTTGTGGGTAGTCAAATGTGCTATTAAGATTTTAACCATCTGCCACCAACTCTCACAAAAGGGATGAACCTCAATAGAGAGGCACCAAATTCCACTCTCATTTACACCAGTGGAAAGCCAAAATAACTCAGTTGGATATGGATGAACTACTTGGTCCATTCAACATTCACGAGAAATATCTCTCTTTTTTTTTTTTTTTTTTTTTAAGTAAGGGAGACAAATGTGTATTATTCATACCTTACGCACCTTAGATAAATGAGCTATAGGACAATTATTATCCCCATTATACAGATATGGAACCAAGACAGAGAGATTTGGTGCTTAACTACCATAATTAGAGAGGTGATTTTTTTAAAAACAAAATAGTTACACCAATAGAACACCTAATGT